AACCAGTGATGCGTGATCTGCTGGGAACCGTGTCTTAACTATCAGTCCACAGAGGAACTTGTTCTTCGAGGGAACCTAACTACTTCGAGTTTGTTACTTCTAACATTACTACGTATCTTGTTGGAAAGTGGTTGAAATTTTAACTGCATGATGACCCGTTTTTGCACACAGAAAAAAGTTACTTAAGACTTAGTAATAAAATAAAAGTAAATTTTTAAAAAAAATGTGTGCTGAATAAGGTAATTTCAAGGTGATTTTTCTTTTAATTGAATAAAAAAAAAGAAAAGAAAAAAAATCAGGATCAGGGAAATTTTGAGCTATGAAACGCGACTAAAGAGAAATATGATTGATTTTGTTTCTAAGCTATACAAATAAATAAATAAATAAATAAAATTTCCTACTCAACGAGTGACCAAGCCTCCTCCCATGTTAGATACTTTAAAAATCCGTATCGTGTTCCAGTACTTTTTTATCACAAATCAAGCATTTGTGTTTGAATCCTTTTTTATCTGAACAGAATAAATAAACATATAAAGCATTTGTGTTTAAAAGCTTATTTACTTAAACAGAATGAATTGAAAACGGCCTTGGATGATAGAAACACGAAACACTTTTTAAAACAGCAAATGCAATATTTTATTGCATTCTAAGTTCAGAGACATTCATTTTAAAATTAGAATACAATAAATGGCTTGAATGGGCTTTCCCTTTCACAATCGAATATGGTATTCAAATAAAATAAAAAAATATTTGCAGTGGTGCTGCAAAATGCTATAGAACCGCCATTACTTTTCAGGAAACTTGACTTACTTATGCTAATTTTCCAAGTAGCTACATTTAATAGCATTTAAACTTATTGACATTAACAAAAAAACGCTTTTGCGTTACAAAAAAAAGAGATAATTCAGCGATATCTACGATATTAAGATCCATGGTACGACCATCGCGATGTTTATGCATCTAGCTAATGTACATCCATGAATTGACCGTCTAACTGTGGTAAGTTTTCACATTATATAGGTCTTACACTATATAATTAAAATGTTTCATATTGAAACAAAATCCTTGTAAATACTTTTTGGACAATATTGCATAAATATTTATAACATACAGTCCGTGACCAAACTATTAGACGCTCTATAAGATTCTATGCAAAATCTTAATTATCAGGTGATATTATACAGTTTTATTGTTTTTGCACTGCTGAAACTGGTTTGCACTTGTTTACGTTTGTGTATAAATTGTTTAAATTAGACGATATATAATATAAATTCGACGTTTGGACAAATTAAACGATATATTACATAAATATAGAATATTTACTATATCAGGTATTATGTTAGTATATCATTATAATTAGACCAAATTATTAGACGTACTGTAGTTTCTTAATAATGACATGTTTTGCACGAGTTTATAGGCAATATTTTTGTATTTAAACATACACCGAAGAGCCATTACATTATGACCACCCTCCATCTATAACAATGGGCTCGCCCAGGTTTTCATGGTTTCTCGCCCAAGAACAATGTTTTCATGGGGCACATTAGGAAACATAATCCTCATAGAACAATCCCTGACGTCTGTAAGCAACTAGAACATAATTGCTGACCAGGTTCCCCCATTAATGGCAACAGTTTTTCCTGCGGTGAATGGTGAATACCAACAGGATAATGCACCATGTCATAAGGGTCGAATCGTCGAGGAACATTCCAGTGACTTTCAAGTCATGTCTTGGCCCCTAAATTCACCTGACCTTAATTCAATAGAGCATTTGTGGTACTACTTGGAAAACCAAATTCATGCTGCCATGCTACCCCCCTGCAATGTGAGGGAATTGCAAGACCAGTTGGTGAGCGCTTGGTACCAGATACCTCAGACTTCCTATCAGCACCTTGTGGAATCAATGCCACAGAGGGTGCTAGCAGTTTTAAGGGCTAAAGGTGGTCCTACATGTTATTAGCAGGATGGTCATAGTCATAATGTAATGGCTCTTCGGTGTACATGTAATGGGTTTTTATTCTGGAGATTTTTTATATACTTCCTACTTGTATTTATTTTTAACGTATTGCATTACAAGGTTAACCAATTGATACACGAACGTAAACAAGTGCAAACCGGTTTCAGCCACGTAAAAACAATAAAGCTGTATAGTATCACCTGATAATTAAGATTTTGCATAGAATCTTATAGTGCGTCTAATAATTTGGCCAAGGGCTGTATTTTCGTTCCGTGTAAGTTAAGGGAACTATTTTAAGTAAAAAGCTTTTAGTCTTATTTGACTCTAATAATGTAACCATCATAATTTAACCATCATAATTATCATAAAAATTATGATAACCATCATAATTTTTTTAATTCTTTCCAAAGTTTCTAATGGCAAAAATATTTCAATGTCGTTAATCTAAATGACGTTAAAAATCTTTTAAACTTATAATGATTTGTGAAAGAAAACTTTTTTTTGTTCCTTTTCATATAACATTTCACATTACATTTTTCTGTTACTTTTTACATAACTAGAATATTAATTAGCGAACCCGAATATTTATGCTTCTTTTAAAAAAAAAGTGTTTTGTAGCTCTTTCGCCAAGATAAGTTAAAAAGCCACAGTTTAAGTAATTCACACTTGAAGCAAGTCCATAATTTTAAGCCTTGTTTCCATCTTTTACCGTAAAGAACTACCTGGCTTTTAGAGCAGACAAATAGCTTAAATATTTTCTAAGTTATAAAACTTAAACAAAAAAATTTTGTGCCCGGATAAAAATTTTCCAAATCAATAAATAATACTGGTGAATAATTTTTGCTATTTGTTGCATGAATTTTTTGAACGGATCTTGGATATTTTCGCGTTGCTGATTATAAATTTGCAGTCGGTCTTGCTCTACGTGTTACAATTTTTATACAATTCAATGATATAGTCCTAACCAGGAATTTTTAAAATTAACTCGAGAGAATAATATGCGTCCTCACTTCCCTGTTACGTAAATAGTATAATGTATCGGCAAATATTATAATGTATAGTATAATGTGTCGTCGAATAATACATTCTGTATGTATTTACATACAGTGCATGTATATATCTAGTAATTATGTATGTATGTGCAAACAATGTAGACAAGAACTTTTGTACATAATGAATGCATGTATTTTATGCAAATACTTGTTTATGTAAAATGTATATCTTTGTTCATGTACGTATGTATGTACAGGCACTTGTTTGTAAGAACATAAATTGCGCAATGTATTGCACAATGTATGTCTCGTGCGTGAATCTGCAATTTATTTATATCTTATGCATCTATGTGGTATATATATATATATATATACCACTTGGACATGGGCCCAGTGCCCTACCAACCAGGCTATCCCAGCCCTATGTATGTACTTATGAACATAACTTAGTTTTTAGGGGCCGGAATAGCCTGGTCGGTAAGGCGCTGGGTCCATGTCCGAGAGTTCGTGGGTTCGAACCCAGCCGGCCGAAGACTCCCCGTGTAGTAAATGGTGACTGATGCACGTTAAATCTGTTGAGTCTCAAAAGTCTTCCATGTTCCCATAACAAATCAATGCCTCTGGGGTTACTGGATTGGAGATCGATCGTTCTCTGCTTCAGGTCAAAATTACGATCTGTGGATGAATGATCGGATGTATGAGTGGGTCCGCCCTATAAAACGTGCTATGACGTGTGTGTGGCTGAAGACGAATTCTTGGCCGCAGGATGGCGCCAGTCTGCCTTTAATTTGCTCGGTTTCACCAAGCAGGCTTGCCCGTGTGTCAAGTTGCATTAGAAACAACAACAACAACTTAGTTTATGAGCATACGTAAATGTATACATTATTTTCACATGTGTTCATACACATACTGTTTGTGTATACGAACATACAAACTTTGCATTTGCGTACAAGCGATTTCCCAGGTAGCCCAGATTTGCATACAAACTATATCCCAGAATAGAATCCCAGATTGCAAAATAAGGTTTCTTTTCATTCAACAAAGGCCTTTTAATGTAAAACTAAAAAGGTTTGTAATACGGTTTATGTGTAAACCTTCAAACCTTAAAACGAGATATGTGACAATCTGCTCTATTTTACGCACATTACCCTAATCCTAAACCTTGGAAGACAACCTTCTATATAAAAATCTTAAATCGAGGTTCGACTTTGGATTTTCAAGCGTGAAAAAATCTTTTAATAAAGCTAGTCTCAAGGTGAAAATAATCTTAAATCTAGGTAATTATAAGCTTTCTTTTTGCACTCTTCCATGCTCAGATAAAATCCACCTTGTCTTGAAATTTCAATGAACAATGCAATTTGATCCTATTGCTAGTGGTCCCGCAGTGGACTGATCGTTAAGACACGGTTCCCAGCAGATCACCGAAGTCATGCATCACTGGCTACGGTCAGTGTGCGGGTGGGTGACCACTTGGATCAGTCTGCGTAGGCACCGAGGGTGCGCGGTATTGGTCCTCGCTTAACTGTTCTACCGTAAAGTGCTCGACTTCACGTGCAGGTCGTCTGGCCACCGAAGCGTGGGTGCCATCCCCTCTGCAGAGGAGCAAAATTGTGTTGGCATGTCTTCGGATCATCCTCAGGGAGGTTTCCCAGACAGTCGCCAATAGTGCGACGTAAATGAACTGCAACAACAACAACCTATCGCTAGTGTGACGTCAGTTAAAAAGTCATTATGGTCCTAAGTGACAATACTTTTCAAAAAAAGCTTTGAAAAATACTTTTTAATCCTTTTAGGATGAAAGGTTTGAAACTGCAAGATATTTTGCTTTATTGAAAAAAGGTTTTTAGTACAAACATTTTCGGAGCAATAAAAAAGAAAATTCAGATACAAGGTTGCCGTAAGATTACATGCTTTCTGGGAATAATTGTTAATACTCATTATTTGAAAACACGCATAAAAAGAATTATCAACAATAATTTAAATATAGAAGATAAAATACGATTGAACTTTTTTTTTAAACTACATATACATTTTATTTCAGGTATTGAATACTTTTTGAAAAAAAGTATATGGAGATGGCATCTTTAAAAGAAAAGATTAAATATGTGTTTGAGAGATCTTATATTCTAAGTTTCGCTGAAATGGCAAAGACATCGTCTCTGAAAAGAATATTTTTCGCATTTTTCATATTTACTTCAAGTTTGGTTGGTTTCCTATATCAAATGTACGAATTTTCAGCTATTTATCTGTCATATGCTACTGAACAGACAGAACTCTCCTCTAATCCAAACTACGTGGAATTACCGGCGATCTCATTATGCAATGTCAACTCGTAAGTTTTCAACCCTTCTCTTTTGCTTGTATCAAATTAGTAGCACGTAAAAACCAAACATTGGATACTTGCAAGTGACGCTACTAAATGATCAGTCAATCAGGCTCGTCAACATACGCGAGTAGCAACTAATCAGGTTTGGTACAAATGCGTGGGAATCGGGTTTGACACAAACTCGTGGGTTGGCCAAGCATGTTCCACGCACGTCGTTTGCAAGTATTCAAATAAATCTGATATGAAAATTTATTCAGCTTGATAATAAAATTTGATGCAAAGATTCAAAGACATATACTTTGTTTATATTTATACATAATTATTGAGGGAGCTTGCATTCATCAAGGAACCTACCTTAGAGCCGCGATAGCACAGGGGATAGAGCATTCGCCTTCCAATGAGGTGAACCGGGGTTCGATCCCGGCGATGACTGGTCGATATGAATTCCGCATCCAGCTTGCACCTTGCACAGTGCTGGCGTGAAATATCCTCAGTGGTAGACGGATCATGGGTTAGAGTCCCCTTGCCGTCAGGTTAACGATGGGAGGTTCTCGTGATCTTCCTCTTAATGCAACGCAAATGCAGGTTAGTTCCATCAAAAAGTCCTCCAACAAAGCAAAATTTCCCTTGTCTTCTGGATTAGGCTCAAAATTACAAGGTTACGGAGTTGAACATTAGTAGTCGTAAATCCCAAAATTGAGTCGGCTGTTCAACGACGGTTATAAAAGAGAGGAACCAACCCTTGGCCGGGATAGCCTGGATGGCAGGGCACCAGGCCCATGTTCAAGAGGTCGTGGGTTCGATCCTCGCTGGCCGAAGCCTCCCCGTGTAGTAAATGGTGACTGATGCAGGTTAAATCTGTCGAGTCACAAAGTCCCTTATGTTCTCATAACAAATCAATAAATCTGGGGGTACTGATTCAGAAGTTTCCTTGTCTTCTGGATTGGTTCAAAATTACAAGGCTACGGAGCTGAGCATTAGTAGTCGTAAACCCATAAATTGGTTGGCTGTTCAACGACGGTTATAAAATAAATAAATAAATAAAATTTCAACCTGTAAATTGTATGAGAGATACGCTTGAGGCAGACGTTTAACCAAGGTTTGTCTGTATATGTGACTGCAGCAACTTTGAAGAGCCTTTGATAGCTCTGTTGTGTTTATTGGTATCTTCTTACGGGCATCCCCGTCTAGGTTATTCCACAAAAGTTCTATTAGATCAGGAGAATATGGTGACTACTTCAATGGGAACCGTAAAATGGAAACTTAAATTCGTCGTTCCAGAGAATCCTCTACCATAATGCTTTGGTCTAGTTTTATTTTAATACTTTTTTTGCAAATACTAAATTGAAAAAAAATAAGTTAAAAAATTTACTTTTTTCATTGTTATCGGCAAAGTCTTTACCGCAACCTCTCCCCCAAAACGAAAATGCTATTCTAAAATCTATTCGGAAATTTTGGGAAAACATAGCTATGAACAAAGGATCTCGAAATTTATTTAATCATAAATGGCAAACAATTGTGGATATTGTATTACATTTAAATAATTAAAAATATTTCATACACGTAGGACCAAGACAATGCAATAATTCTATTTTTAATGAAGGGCAAAATATTTGCTTTGAGGCACCCTACAGACCGAAACTTTCTAGCCTGACCTTTGTCAGTGGATATTTTCACATACATTTTATTACCCATAAGCAAAATGGGTCTTGTTTTGGATTTGATGGCGTACAGACACTTTTCAACTGTGATCCAGAGTAATAGTAAACAGTGCGCATGTTATTTAGCATGTTTGAAATTACTCCTTCGAACCATGAAGATTCAGTTTTAAAACGTGAAGATCCTATAATTAAATCAAAATTTATTCAGGGTGTATTTTTTTTTTTTTTTGCAAATTTGAAATAACTAATAAAAGTTAATTAAGTTTAAGTTGATTGATTAATGGATTTGTTTAAAAAATATATTTTATTATTTTTTTTCCTCAACTTGATTAAACATAGTTTAGCAAACCAAAAATCTCCGTTCCCTTTATGCTTAACATTTAAAAAAAAATTATTTTTGTCATTTTTTAAAGCAAGGCTTTCAGGAGGAATATAGAAACATATAGTATATAGAATATATATATATATAGTATATATAGTATATATAGAATATATAGTATATAGTATATAGAAACACAAATAACACTGATAAACATTTTTTTTTCTTTTTTGTTTCATGAGTTTTTTTAAACAGATCCTAGATACCTTGGCATTGATAATTTCAAATCATCTGCAATTTGTTTCTCTATCCAAGCAACAGTTCTTTTAAACGAACTTTTTAATCTATTTTTTATCGAAATGTGCAAATTTAAAAAACTGAAACAGAGGTCACAGAAGTATTGAGACAAACTTCCACGAGAGTTAAGGCACATCATGGGGATTAAAATTGCATAGGATTCCATCCCCAGAAATATCACCATACACCGATCGCTAAGGGAGCTTTCTTACTTATTAATTGTTTCTCCGTGCTTATCAAGTGCTCCCAGCCGCGTACAACGACATTTCCGGTAATGAATTCCCTTGCTCTTTTGATCCTGAAGATGTCCCTTAAACCCCCTAGAAGTATGTCGCATTATTTATGTAAACGTTTTTAACCCTTTGACAGTGTTGACCTAGTCCAGTTCGGGCAATTACAACGTGCATTATTTGTGGAGCCCGAGCTGAGTTCGTTTCCACTTCAGGATACTTAATTCACTATTTTCCTAATAGATGGCATTAGTGGTCCTAGTTTTTCAGGGATCACGACTTCAGTCAAGGGTGGGAAATGTGGATGGGGTTTCGGGATATACCATACCGTAAAAGATTTGTAATTTATGTATTGAAAATCATATTGTTGTGTTTTTATATTATACTCACAGCAAAAGCCTTTCAATCCTTATATTCAGCTTCAAAATTTTGTTTAATTTGCTCTATATGAGTAAGATGTGTGTGTAATCCGTTACTTTTTTATGTGTATGTAAAAATTATAAATACAGTAGACATTGCATTTAAAATTTTACTTTTGCAATAAAAAACCATTTTCTATCTTTTATAATGATATAAAGAAAAAAATTAAACAGTCGAAAAAATTTCTATTTTTCTGAAATATATGCTACTTTTAAGAGGTTAAATTGTACATTTCGATATGAAATAGACAACTAATTTTAGATTTGAAATAGCAAAACTAATTTTAGATTTGAAATAGCAAAACTAATTTTAGATTTGAAATCATTACACCCGACCAAATCAAGTATTTCTATAAAATAAAACGAAAATATGTTCTCTAGAAGAATTGTTTTGGTACTATTAATTGCTCTGAAACGGCTGTCTGTCTATTTTAATTTTTTTTAAAATTACTTTTGCTTCACATGCTAGTTTTTGCATTATCTAGATGAACAATAGTTAGATTTTAAAAATTTAATTAGTTTGTCGAAACTAAACTACTTCAAAATCACAACCCAAGTTAAAATTTTTGATAGTTTTTCATTGATGGACCAACATAATCTTGATGGTAGCCATTAATAATTCCATCATGGACCATTATATTTTTGATAGTAGCCAACATAAGTGAACATCACCTCAATATAGAAATTCGGACTGATTTATGATGGCCCAACATAAGAATAGCAACTGGTTTTGATGGTTTGTTCATGTTAAACCATCAGAAATTTCCATCATTTTTTAGAAATCAAATGTTGGAATGATCATGAACAACCATCATCCCAATGTAAGAATTCGGACTGATTTATGATGGTCCAACTTAACAAAATCAAATTGTTTTGATGGTATATTCTTAAGAACCAACAAGAATTCCCATCAAACCATCTTGGAAATGTATGGTTGGAACCATCATGAACCACCACGGATCATGGATGGTTCATGAGAATCAAACTTCCTTAGTTGGTAAACCATATTAGTATTAATGTAGTATTTTCCATCACGTAATGATGGAAGTTTGTTGACATATCAAAACCATGAACGCATAATGAAAAATGTTGGATGATGGTGACCATCAAATGATGTTGGACCATCACGAATCACACTGAAAACAACACAAACCATCAAAATATATTGATGGTACCATCAAGAACTTTGACTTGAGGAGCTTTATTTTACTATTTCTATGTTTTAAAGGCATCGGAACAGTGAAGTATGCAAGTTGAATGACAGCTCCTCTGGCTACGTTAAGGAAGCAAACGTTGGATGTAAAGAATATCCCAAACTATGTGAGGAATCTTTTAAGAAATATAAAGTGGTAAGTTTCCTTAATTATGCATCACGAAGACTTTAAGAAAAGGCTTTTGCTTCTTAGGGATATCATTGATCATATAATTCAATTTGACGTTAAATAGTAACTTAGAAATGTCACTGCGATGTTTTTATTTGGCAGCGAAAATTATGGACGTGAACGGTTTCATTTTTCAAAAAGGCTTTTGCTTCTTAGTGATATCATTGGTCATATAATTCAATTTGACGTTAAATAGTAACTTAGAAATGTCACTGCGATGTTTTCAGCGAAAATTGTGGACGTGAACGGTTTCATTTTTCAAAAAGGCTTTTGCTTCTTACTGATATCATTGATCATATAATTCAATTTGACGTTAAATAGTAACTTAGAAATGTCACTGCGATGTTTTTATTTGGCAGCGAAAATTATGGACGTGAACGGTTTCATTTTTCAAAAAGGCTTTTGCTTCTTAGTGATATCATTGATCATATAATTCAATTTCACGTTAAATAGGAAATTAGAATTTATGTCACTGTGAGGTTTTTATTTGGTAGCAAAAATTATGGACGTGAACGGCTCCCTTTCTCAGAAAGGCTTTGCTTCCTAGAGATATCATTGATCACATAATTCAATTTGACATTAAATAGTTACTTAGATTTAATGTCACTGTGATGTTTTTATTTGACAGTGCCAATTATGGACGTCAACGACTCCATTTTTCGAAATAGCTTTTGTAGATAAGTGATATAATTAATCATATAATTCAGTTTGATGCAAAATAGTAACATAGAATTGATGTCACTGTGGTATTTTTACTTGACAGCGTTAATTATCGAAGTCAAAGTCTCCATTTTTCAGAGAAAAACATTATATTAATATCCCGGTTCAAAATTAAATGAATGCTAACCCATCCAGTTTTTAGATAAAAAGAATTGTGAAAGGTCTGTTAGCGGACACTAATGTCTTCTAAGCAGACTTCTGGCGTTTACTTCAAGAAAAATATTCATGAAATCACGAGGGAAAAAAAAGAATACTTTTTTTTCTCTCGAAAACTTCACATTTAGGTATACCTTTAATTATTCTGAAATTTTTACTGTATAATACGTTTAGGAGATAAAAACTCGGAAATAATTCATTACTTTATTGTAACTGAATAATGATGAAATTTCGAATATAATGCATTTTAACTTTTATTTCCTAATAGTCATGTCTTTCTCCTGAATTCGAAAAAATGCTGGAAACTGAAGAGATCTGGAAAGCAGCTGAAACTTTCGCTCACACTGAAAGTATGTTTTATTCGTGCTTCGAAATCATTGGAAACGAAAGAAAGATATGCGAGTAAGTAACATATACTGTGTTCCATATACATAACCTCTTCACTGTGGTTGCCTAGTGTTGTATGCAATGCATAGGGAAAGTATGTAATACTTCTCATATTTCATACCTTGCCCAAAAAACTTCTGGCATTATATACAACGCCTAGGCATTCTATAGAATGCCTGCAAATGCCAGATTCTAATTTATTGACAATCGAACGGAAGTTGCCGTTATCATTAACTGTTGAGAAACAGACGAAAATTAACTAATTTTACTAATTATAAAGAGGCTAGAGTGGAGAAGAAATTGAAAATTTTGCTGCCTGTAACATTAAACTGAAACTTTTCTTTTCTAATGACAGGCACTGAACTTTTACGTTCTTTGCCTGGGAAGATGCCGTGAGTATTCATTTAACGCTACCCAGTGGGCACCTGTGAACCTAAGTCACGGAGGCGAGCAACTTTACCCACTCCGCACTGTCACAGATACCCGTTTATAGGGTGGGCCACATTCACACGTCAAGCAATGGGGAACAACAAACAGAGAGAAACATCCATGCCTTGAGCGGTATTCGAACCCGCAGCCAGGCACCATCTGGCCAGCATTAAACTGAAACTGATTATATTAGAATTACTTTCCAGAACTAAAATCTTCTATTCAGTCAATCGTATGCTTGTATTAAATGGTCTAGAGATTACGTTCTAACAAAGTAACAAAGAACAACTAATAAAATAAAAAGTTTTTGCCTAGCTAAATACCACTTTCTCTTTCCATTGCTGTACACCGTATTTTTTAAACACAATACACAGCAAAAAATATTTTCTCATGAGTTTTGATCGTGGAACAATAGGGCACTGTGCAATATTTATAACTACGATGCTGAAGGTTTTTGAGGTTCTTCCTTCGCTAAATTTACAATTAATTATGTATCGACAACAATCAAGGTAGGTGTAAATAACACTTATATAATTTGTCGATGGAAAGAACTACCCTTGACACAAAGTCTAATGATGTCTGCGGCTATGGAAACAAGACGCAGCTCATTTTAAAGAGAGGAGCTCCTTTCTCTCTCCCTATTCTCTTTCTCTCGGCGACCCAAACCAAAACCTAATAAATATTGACCCAACACCCCAGCTTAGAATAGTTGTACCTCGTACCCATAGTAACCGTCACAGTTTCATACGAATGGTGAGGGGAATTCCTTCCATAGACCGACTATAATAAGCGATTGCTAAAATGTTTTATGTACAGTAACGTCACAAGTAATATGCGTCAGCGACCAATTTAAAAGGCGTTTTAAAAATAATGAACTTGTTTGAATGCAATTTAATTGACATTTTCCAGTGTAATTTTTCAAGCTCTTTCATTTTAAAAAGATTTTAAAAATCACGTTTGTAAAATTGCAAATGGTTTGCTAAATTGAATATCTTATTGGTTAACTATTAGTTGGTAGCAGATCTACTTGTTTTTATTTAGCTTTTTGAAACCGGGAGATAACCCTTTCGACCCTTAGATGTGGATTTTATGACAACCGTCATTAATTTTAAAATTAGACTTATATTCCATAGATCATGTCTCATCACGTTGTGAAAAAATTGCACGGTTTTGGCTTTTTGAATCGGCTTCTGGTTGGTAACAGATTTATTTGTTTCCACTTAGCTTCTTTAAACCGGAAAAAAGACCATTTGGAACATTTACTCATGGAATAACTGATAGGAGTCCAACTAGCTGCTACACTTTTAATTCTGCTGTTAGAAATCCAAATGCTCCAGGAAAATATTTACTTAAATCATCCAGTAAGTATAAATTTCAGAAATCTAAAATCAAGTGTTAAAACATTTAAAAAAAATTTTTTATTAGATTTGTGATAGTTGTTACCTAAACTAAACTGGGTTACGTAGCGACCCATAGAGAACAATGCAACCCATAGAGAGCAAAGCAACCCATAGAGAGCAAAGCAACCCATAGAGAGCAAAGTTTTCTTGACCTTGGGCTCTAGTGTTCAGTAGCAGATATTCCAATACCCTGTGGGAGAGGGAATAGAGCATTCACCTTCCATTGAGGTGAACCGGGTTCGAATTCCGCATCCAGCTTGCACCGACCACAGTGTTGGATGGATCAAGGGTTAGAGTCCCCTTGCCGTCAGGCTAGTCATGGTTGGTCTTCATGGTTTTCCTCTCCATGTAACGCAAATGTGGGTTAGTTCCTTCTAAAAAGTCCTCCATGAAAGCGAAATTGCTCACAAAACTTGATTCATGAGTTTCCTTGTCTTCTGGATTGGGTTCATGATTACAAGGCAACGAAGTTGAACATTAGTAGTCGTAAACCCAAAACAATTGGGTCGGCTGTTCCACGACAATTATAAATTTATTTTTAAAAAAATACTCCGCACTGAAGGGATTGCTCTTCAAAACTGACACATCTAATTTAGTCATTTCATACGTATGCTAAATTCTGTAACATCACAAACAATTTTAAAAATATTTTTTTGCAAAAGACAAAACAAAAAAAAACTATACTTTTGTATTCATTTAGTTGTTACAACAGTAAAAAAAAACTGAAAAACAAGTGGTCAAAGCTAAAAGTCCCTTATGGGATATTTGACACCAGTTGACGTCAACGGGAGAATCTGTAGCTGGATTGAAAATAAACATATTTATCTTCAAGCATCGATGGTCAAAGTCAGGAAAAGAAAAACAGAAAGCGAAAATCATGCGGTTTCTTATATTCTTGTTCGATCGTTGAAAAATAACGATTATCTTGATATGTTGGTGCGAAGGGCCAATTATCGATTCTTCGAATAGGATTAATCGTATTGTAAATGTCTTAAATCTAAGTGATCGATTGCTGCAGCGTTCTTGCTTAGAAAACACAGGAATTTATATCAAAGTTGATCAACAGATGGCACTGCTGGAGGAAAAAAATATAAAATAAAGCTCATGTCAGATTATTCCAACTGAAGTGCTTGTATGATTGTTTGTTAGATTTGTCTCAGTTTATGTTGTTAGAAATGCTGATTGTTTCAAAAACATTACTTGATTGAAAAAACTTCATTGGTTACAAAAATAAGCAGATGGATATTAAAAGTTGATATGTTTCAAGCTCCCAAGAATAGGTATCAATTATCAAGTCTTTCTCTTCCAGAATGAGAAGAAATCTTCTACATTTTATACTTTCGCCTTCCTCGCACTTTACCTTTGCCCTAACTTTTGTTCTTAAAACTACGAACTTAACTTCCTCGGCTCGTTTGCTAATAACAGTTTATTTAATCCTTCTATAGCCCAAACACCCTTCATCTAATCCTTTAAGTTTTATTTTATTTCATAACCATCGTTGCACAGCAATTTTTAGGTTTACGACAACTAATGTTCAACTTGGTAGCGTTGAGGCTTTGAACCGCTGGTAGCCCGCTTTCGGACAAAAGTAACATCCGATACAGATTGGATCTCAAAAAGTTTCTTCAGTCATAGGCTGTCACGAGAAACTTTAAGTTGTTCTTCCAAACGTTCGATACTTCCAAGAGCATCTGATTAGATCTCATCAAGCACGAAGATATGAAGTTCCTAGTACACAGTAGTCTTTACGTCATCTATCTTTGCTGGGTGCAGGAACCAGACCTTCCCCGAAGTCGTCTCTCATCATCGGGGTAGACATGCGTTAACCCCAGCGTCCAAATCGCCTCATCGTCGTAGTTCCTAGACCGGTCTTAAAACAACCATACTCGGTAGTCTCTAAGTCAGGAATGATCCTATTTGTTACAAAATAGCTAATATACTCTCCCGTTTTAGTTTCAGAGTCATTTTTAAGCCTGTTAAAAGAAATTAAATGTCAGTTTCATAAATATCTTTTCAGTATTCAAAATGGCTGGGGCATTTAGTACTTGCCTTGCCAGTGCTGCCTTGGTTGCCACGGACAAACCAGACGCACTTCAAAATTTAAACATTAGGAACAGGATAGTGGTGTTCTTTATCAAGAAGAGGATTAATCATCAATTGCTGTGTATAGTTTAAATCTTGGGCATAAATTCAATTTTGACAGTGCCAAAACTATTTCCACCCGAGTCACATCAGCTCATCTTGATGCCTTGGAATCTTGCTTCATTCTTGGTAATGTTTATTCCCTCGTTAACGGCATCAGTTCATCACCACCTCTTCTCCACCTCGATTCGTGCCTATCGGCAACAGTGGTTTGTCTTGTTCTGTTTTTTTTTTAATCTTTATTTTTGCTTCACCCTCAATTACTACGGTTTTCCCAATTTCTTTACTCTTCTTTATTTTCCCTTTTTCTTTCAAAACTTAACTTTTTATACTTCAAATCACTTTTGCTTCTTCTCATTCACATCTGGCAAGTCTTGAGTTTGGGCGCCTATTTTTGAACACTTGAAACGTGCCGACTTTTGTTTTCCTCCGAATATTTTTGAAGCCGAAGAAAATTTTTAGTCAAGTAATATCTCCCAGCTTTAGTTTCTTGGGATTATTCTTTTTAACATACTCTAATAATTTTCCCCACTAAGCAGAGCCATCTTTTGACCAACCTTGCAACTTATTTTGAAACTTGCTGAAGAAAAACTGTTATTTCTGGATAATGTCTATGCTATCATTTATTCTTTATTTAGAGATAGAAATGGTCCTTTTAACAGAAGCTGCAAACTATAAAAATACGCTTTTGAAGCCAGGATTTTTTATAGCAGTTCATGATCGCAAGACGATAGTAAATCCAATCAGTTCAGGAGATATTGTGTATGGTGGGAATACGTATGAATATAATATAAAGAAAGAGGTAAGTAGAGTACAGTATTTTACTTCTAGATGATAAGTTTAGTATGATTGAGTACTGCATAAATCAGTGGTTCCCAAATCATGTTCAGGGTAACCCTGGGATTCCGAGAGTTTGAAGGGATTTAATTATCGACGATGCCAACCTTTATCTATCAAAAGGTAACTCCAGATGGATTTAAGTTAACGTGTCTTATATACTAGTGATTTGATAATTAATATTTATAGTGGTATTTACGCCACATTACTCCTCTTCCAGACTTTTATCTGCGATAGAATTCAATGGCCACTAATACCACTAGTTAATTCATGCTGTTTATTTTTTTAGATCATTTTTGCTACTTATATTTTTTCTTCATTTTTTTTTATTTGTAGCATTTCGCTATTTTTTTTCTTCATTGTTTTGTTCATAGCATTTCCTTATTAATATTTTTTTCCTTCACTTTTTTTCCTCATAGCATTTAGCTCATTATTTTTTTTCCTTCATTTTTTTGTTTTTTCTTCACAGCATTTAGCTCATTATTTTTTTTCCTTTATTTTTTTGTTTTTTATTCACAGCATTTAGCTCATTATTTTTTTTCCTTCATTTTTTTGTTTTTTCTTCACAGCATTTCGCTCATTATTTTTTTTCCTTCATTTTTTGCTTTTTTTTCTTCACAGCATTTTGTTCAGTATTTTTTTTCTTCATTTTTTTGTTTAATGACCGGAAAATTTTTTTACTTCACCGAATTTTTTTCTTTTCTTTCTTTGAGCAGTATATTTTTTTTAAGCAAATCAACTGTTTAATGTGGATCATCCATCCGTATTGGCAAGTTATTATCGCGTTCCGGTGGTCACCAATGAGGGGATTTAATTATAGACGATGCCAACTTTCATCTATCAAAAGGTATCTCGTGATAGAATCAAGTTAACATGTCTTATATACTAGTCATTTGGTAATTAATATTTGTAGTGGTAGTTACGCCACAAGTTTAAGTTTTCCAAATCAGTAAGGATTTTGGAAACTTGTAACAATTCTTTATATAAAATAGTTAAACCACAATTTCTTTGACAGTCTTTTTAATTATGGAATTATTTAAGTATAATCCCAATAAAAAAAGAAATGGAAAAATTTATTTAAAAAAATTGCAACAATATTTCTTAATGAATTTTTCAATTCAAAACTAAATTACCAAATTCAAGAACAACGAGTTTATTTTTCTTTGATAACTGTTTTCAACATTTGAAAGAGTTTTTTACCCATTGGCAAAATGGGTCTTGTCTTGGGTTTGATGGCGTCTTCAACTGTATTCTAGAGTAATACACTGGTGGACAAAATTTAGAGATGGAAGGCATTTTCGCACATATCTATGACGCTACATTCTTCTATGACGCTACATTCTTCTATGACGCTACATTCTTCTATGACGCTACATTCTTATATGACGCTACATTCTTCTATGACGCTACATTCTTCTATGACGCTATTCCTGGACGGTTATTGACGTGGAACCCGATACCATTCCAGCAACATTATCGAAAGGGACCATTATGCTGGTGGAGGACTCATGGTTTGGGCAGGGATCATGCAAGATACCTGCACACCGCTCCATGTGTTTGACAATGGTCCCGTGAATGCCCAGAGTTACAGGCAGGAGGTCCTAGTGCGTCTTTTCAGGGGCGCTGTTGTCCCTGAGTTCATTTTTATGTACGACAATGCGCGACCACATAAGGCTCTCATGGTTGATGAGTATCTGGAAAGCGAGGATATTTAACGAATGGATTGGCCAGTCAAATCCCCTAACCTGAATCCTATTGAACATGCTTGAGATGCTCTTGGGAGAGCTATTGCGATGCGCCAACCTCTCCCCAGAACCATTCTGGAGTTAAAAATTGCTCTGGGGGAAGAATGGGAGGTTCTTCCACAAGTCCTCCTTAACTCCCTTATTAACAGCATGCATACTCTCTGTGCATGCTGTCTGTCCGTCAGGGGTGACCATACACCATACTAGAGGCAACACACACTGTAAAAGCCTCACTTTTACTGTCATCTTTTATTCTTAAGTTCAGACTACATTGGATTTATTGGCAATAGGTCTTGCCAGTGAATGGCACTTTCATTTTTGTTTTGCATACTTTATTATCATGGAATAAGCTATATCCAAGCCAAATTTCATTTATTTATATTCAGTATTTTTTGAGATATTTGGGAAAATGTCTTCCATCTCTTAATTTTGTCGACCAGTGTAGTAAACAGTGCGTATGCGTCGTCATTGCATGCCTTGCTATGGCGACCACTGCTGTTTTTCTTTTTATTTTCACTAGCAGGCATTTTTAATGTATTTACATGATAAAAATTTAAAGTATTTTTATATTCTTTTATTATTGACGCATAACTACTGGCATGGCGGTGATTTTAATATTAATATAAATTGAATGCTGAAGAAGGAAATGTATTTTGTGAAACACGTACATAGGCAGGATATGAAAACCATTCAGACGACAAACATCAATTGAGACAGTTTCTGCAGCCCATGATTTGAAATGATGTGGCGTTTGACGGAGTTAAAAGCAAAAGCATTTGAGGAATGGATAATTTTGAGGAAAGCATTTGAGGAATATGGTATGCTTCGCAATAAAGCATTTGAGGAATATGGTTTGCTTCGCTGGCTACTAACTTAGGTACATTGCAAATGCACAATATTCTAAGAATTCAAAACAACCATTCAAAACCATATAAAAACTTTTTTTAAGAAAAAATTACATCTTTTTAGTAAATACTAAGTCATTAAAATAAATTCGAATTCAAATAAATGAAATGTAATTCGTTAAATCTATTAGAAATGTTCTATAGTATAATTCGTGATATAATTCGTGATAATAATTCGTAATGTATAAATTCGTGAAATAAAGCACGTTTGACAAAATACTAAAATAGAGATCTGTCGACAAAGACTACTCTCTTCTGCCTAGCTCGATAGTATGAGATTGTCGCAGCTTTTGCTCTCTGATTATTTCAGTTTCCGTTTTTAAAAGCGCTATATGTTGAGCCACCTCAGCTAGATTTGGCATGTGACATTTTTAGCGGCAATCATTGGTCGATTTTCTAGCGTTGCCATTCGGGGAGTTGTAATGAGGCTTTTTTTATCGCGTGTAAGAGAAATAGTAACGTAAACAAAACAAAGCAAACGTTGCCACCTGCGGAAAAGAAATACAGCCAAAATTTGGGAGCCACGTAAGAGAATTATATATATTAGATTTTTTTTCTGAAATCGAAAACCCTAATTCAGCTTATTTTATTCATTTTCAGCTAATGTAATCACCAAAAACAAATTCAGAACTAGAGCAGATAGCACTCCAGGCCAGCTAATTCATCCGCTTCACATAAAATATTTAACCGTATAAGTTTATCGTATAAGTTAACCGTATAAGTTATAAGTTTGCCGTTCAGCCAAAGGATGTTAGATCATTTAGTATATCATATTTTTTGTGTAAATTACCAAAATATTTTAAACAAGAAATACTGAGCCATGGTGGCTCAGGGTTTAGAACGCTCGCCTCCCAAAGAGGTGACTTGGTTCGAATCTCAGTCTTTGCTGGTATTTGAATTCTGCACCCAGCTCACACCAACCACACTGCTGACGTAAAATCATCAGTGGTGAACGGATCATGAGTTAGAGTGCCCTTGGCGTAAGTCCGATCGGGAGAGGTTTTCGTGGTTTTCTTCTATAAATAACAGTGCTTCATTTTCACCAGTTGTTTTCAGCTGTTACCTATATATTTTTCTTTTTGTTTTTCTCAAAGATTCAAACTAGCCTGTTACCTTCTCCCTATGACACCAATTGCACGGACTATGAATCTTTACGGATGCAGAAAAATGGAACAGGTCCTTCTGATTTTCAGGTATATTATCATAGGTTAATCTTTCACCACAAATTTTATATATATTTATAGNAGAATAGCGCATTTCAGGGAGGGTAGCTTCTATTAACTCTAGGGCTAACACAATAGACGAATGAAAAAGGTTCCCTTTTTCTCACCGACCCGAACCTGTCCTAAACAATGACCCTACTTGAAATAGTTATACCTCTTTACCATAGTCACCGCCATTGGTCCAGACGAATGGCTAGGGGAGTTCTTACTTTAGACAAACTATAAAAATTATTCGCGATATTTGTTTTTTTAATTTTAAAATCTTTAAAATCTTAAAAATATCAAAAGTTCAGTTTATTATGAACTTTTAAAATTTTCTTTTTCGTATTTATGTCAGCCTTAAATTCAATATTTAACTCAGTCAAAACAAAAGGATTAATCTGTTCATTTACAAACCAACGTAAACTCCCGTTTGACGAATACATTAGTAAATACAGTTCTAAGAACTGTTCTTTTTTTCTTTTCTTTTTTTTTTTTTTTTTTTTTTTTTTTTTTTTTTTTTTTTTTTTTTNTTTTTTTTTTTTTTTTTTTTTTTTTTTTTTTTTTTGTTTCTGCATTGTTGCAAGATTCTTTTAATTGCACAAACTTTTGTCCCCATTCCTGACTAAAGAAAGTAAACCTTATTTCCCATTTTGAGTCTACTCCCGTTAGTTTGATTAACAAAAATCCAAAACGGTCATAAAAAAATGTTTTAAAATATTTATCCGGTTAAGGCAAAGAACCAGGCCCAAACTTTAAAGTCAGTATACTTATACGTGTGATTTAAAACTAAAGGAAGACTTTGTACTGTTTTTCTCAAATCAATAATTGTTCATCGTCAATAATTGTTTTACTGTGATTTTCTATAATCTTTCCAAGCAAACGTATGATTTAAGAGCTATGAAATAGTGATTGAACGAAGATCTTTTTTTTCATCATATGATTAAAGCGGATTTTTGTCCTTTAAAATACTTGTGTCATCTTAATTATAATGTAATTAACATCATTGAGAAAATGGGACTATTTTCGTAAGGAATTTGAAACAAAAAAAATAGTGTGTTTTTCTTTACTACAACGCCAACAATTTGAGAATTTAGACTAGCTTTGTTCGTGAAAAAAAGTGACTCAATTATTGAAAAATTCTTCCTTCATTAATTATTTTTATCACTTTCAGAAATCTTTCACAACAATTGTACGTATCGGCAACTAGACTATTGATTGAACTATCATTTTTTTTTTATTTTGGCTGAAACTCTTCCCCGACGCCCGGTGGCTGAGCGGTAGCGCTTCGCGCTGTCGTGCCACAGGTCCCTGGTTCGATCCTCGGGCCGGGCAAGGTTGACTCAGACTTTCATCCCTTCAGTGGCTCGATAAATGAGTACCAAGCATGCTTGGGAACTAAACATTGGAGGTTTCGCGTTCGACTGACCACCTAACCGGAACATCTGCTCCTGCACCCCAGAGCCCAAAGATCAAGAAAACTGAGATGGGCACAGTAGGCCTTGGCACTCAATGGGCTGTCGCGCCGCTGAGTTTAGTTTAGAAACACTTCCCACCACAAAATTATTAGATAATAAATATTGTTGAAAACTAAGGCCTTAGAAGTTTGGAAGTTTAAGTTAAAACCAATATCGACTGTTAGTTATCCTTTATAATAACAAGAAACTGTTGTAGATAAGTTAATTAGGTCCCCGATCCCCCACCCCCACCCCCATATATGGGTCTGCTGGAAAAATTTTTAACTTGTCACCGTGACACTCTCCTACCCAGCCGGAGGTGGACAGAGAGTATCTAGCACACGCACCGGCCAAGAGGCCCAGCGAAGCCCCCTCCGTGGCATTTATTTAAAAACAAGAAAAAACATAGTAGGGGAGAGGGGGGCACATGTGAACAAGGGGCACATATGAACAAGGTATGTTTTACCAATGTAATTTGAAATAAAAAATCTCGAAAAATTTTCGATTGATGGCAGTACTAGTTCTACCTCTCTGCGAAACTTTCAGAACAATGAGACATTTTGTTGTTCTATTCTGACAATTTCTTTGTATCAGCTGGTGATGAATATATTATAATCACTCGCTTCTTCAAGTGAAAGCATAGTATAAATCAACTAATAAACTAAAATTAACTATTGCAGACCATTATATGAACATTCAGGTAGGTTTATGACAATTATTATTTTTTTTTTTTGCTCAATTAAAAATTCTTTATTTTTTAGCTTAGGTTTAAGAAGGATGATGGGGCACTTGTGAACAAAACATCTGGGGCAGATGTGAACAGTTCACATGTGCCCCTACATAGTATTAAGATTATTATCCTCGTAATATTATAAGTTTAAAAAATATGCATGCATTTAGAGTTATTATTATTTAATCTTCCATAATTAATTTATTAATTTTTTCTTTAAAAAAAAATTTTATTAAATGGTTGATCGCGCATCACGCTTATTAACTGATACACCTGAGAAAGATACAATTGCTAAAGCTACAAATGAAAGGATAGAAAAAATGGGAAAAAAATCATGACAGAGTATTAGAGAAGAAAGAAAAAGGCCTATTATAACTCCTAATGAACATGAAGTTGCGAAAAACCCAACAGCGGAAAAATTATTGTACAGCTGAAAAAAAATTTTCTTATTGACAGTACTGTTGTACAATTTAAATTCACATAGCAAGCTACAACCCCTTCAGTATAATGCGAATCTATATCTGTTATATTAAGGATTTTTTTCTTTGAAATATGATGATTGCTTTGTGTTTTTAATCTTGCTCATATGTGCCCTTTAGCAAGTTCACATGTGCCCCCAATAGGGACACATGTGAACAATTGAAGTCATTTTTCTAAAATATCATAAAGTGAAGAAATATTTTATTGAAAAATCTCAAAAAATTCCATAAGGCAAAGAAAAGAATATTTAAACATATGGACTTCTTCACTGTGAGAAATTGATGATATTTTTTGAAAAATGAAGAAATAAAAAAATTTGTTCACATGTGCCCCCCTCCCCCTACTATTTTGGCAACAGCCCGGAGGTAATCGGGCAAAAATACAAAAGCTACAAATTCACCTCAAGAATTAAAACATTCTGCATGTATAATCATCGTGATTATTCCGACTATTAACTAACTATTGTAGATAAATGCAAACAATTTTAATGCTAGAAGACAAATAATGATTATAAATATGTTCTTTCTTTATGTTGCAGGATTGTCTGTACAAGTGTCTCGTGGAGGAGTTAATAGCGACAAATTCTTGTATTCCTTTCCACTTCCCTATATCTCACAAAGGAAAAATTTGCAAAAGTATAAGCATCGTCGTTAAGTTTTCATTAACTTGTCTTTGTGTCTGTCAAAGTGTGGTACAAGCATCTTTCTAAAGCTTTATCTTTCTAAAATGTGTATTGCAATCAACGAAAGGTTCCGCAGTGAATCCGATCGTGAAGACGCGGTTCCCAGCAGAGCACCGAAGTCAAGCATCTCTGGCTGCGGTTAGTGTGCTGTTGGGTGACCACTTTGATCAGCGTGCAAAGAGTGCACGGTATCGGTCCTCATCAAACTGTTCTACCGTAAAGTGCTCGATTTCGCGTGCAGACGGTCGGGCTTCCAAAGCACGGGAGCCATCCCCTCTGCGGAGGATCGAAATTGCGATGGCCTGTCTTCGGATCATCCTCAGGGATGTTTCCCAGACAGTCGCCAATAGCCCAGTGCGACGTAAACCTACAACAATCAACGAAAAAATACCCGAGAATTTTTACCTTCTTCAGAGTTTTCCAAAAACGTTAAATAACCCACTTTTTGTGGTCAGATTACTGTTTTTAAATCACCACGGTAGGAGGATTAAATGTAATGAAATGAATTCCCTCTTTGCAGTTTTATATCAGATTTGTAACAAATGCGTTGTCAACGCAATTCCCGCTCTACGCACATATATGCAGGTAGTTTTCAGCCCATGGGTGATATTTACGGGTAATAAAATCGGATCAGTTCAAATTTGCGTAAAGAATGAAAAATTTCCAATCATCATAAAAGAAATTATCATTTTCATTGACAATTTCAACCCACATGCCTATAAATTTCGAGTCACTGAAAAGAATTTTCAGGAAAAGCGAGGTCCATTGAAGGATTTGCAATCTTAGAAAGTCAAAATTTCCTATTTTGGCTTGTGACTCCATTTTAATAGGGTAAACCAACCAGTGAAGGAACACTACCCAGAGAAGGAACATTTCATATACATTGATAAAAAGTAAAAATTTGAAAGTTTTTCTTTAGATTGATTGGTAACAATAGCTTACTGCCAAACAATAGGAAGTCATCTAGCAATGTTTTGGATTACCTGGTCAAATAGACTTCTCTGAAAAAAAAATTTGAATTTTTTATTATCTCTGCAACACCTTGTTTCTTTGAAAAAATTATAAGGTGAGTGTTTGTATTTATATGTTTGAAGTGGAATTAATTGCATGTAATAGTTTTATTTTTCTCACTGTGAAAAAGAGAATTCAAAATATAGTTATTGAAGTTACGTTTTATTTTTTTAA